TTTTGTTTGCCTTTTCAAGATGAAAGAGCTCTAAGTTGAGCAAATCAGTAAATGGCATATTTCTTTATTCACACGGTGTCATAATAGAAGAATTTTATCCTCAGGTGAAGTAGCTCGTAGCAAAGTAGCCATTATTGGTTAATCATTTTGGCCCATGGCACTACCTACTTGTGAGTTCTAATGTCACCGTGTACAGTCACATCAGCAGTGGTCACGCAGCACAGGCCCTAAGGGGGCCATGCCCTCCTCTGTCCTCCCTCGGTGCTCACTGCAAACTCTGGCGTCACCTGTGCCCACTGCATTAAAATGACCTATTAAAATAGTGGCTGCTTGCGCCACATGTGTTCTGCGTGGGCCAGGCTTTTCCTCATGTCCCAGCTCTGCCTGTCAGGTGTCTGGCATGACGCAGACACTCAGCAAATGTTTATAGTTAATTTTTCTAACCAGTTTTTACCCCAGTAATGTAACAAATGCCTCTCTCTAACAAGAGACGTTTAGATTGAATTAATCAGTCAGCCTTCAAGCGTCAAAAACTAAGTCTTGCTAACTTTTCAGGGTTTTCTAACTCTTCCATAGTACAGCCACTATGACAAACAGTATGGAGGTTCCTCAAAAACTACAGATAGAGCTAGTGTACGATCCAGCCATCCGATTTCTGGGTATTTATCCAGAGGAAATGAGAACAGGGTGTTGAAGAGAGCTGCCCTCCATGCTCATTACGGCGTTGTTCACAGTAGCCTGGAAATGGAACCACTGTGTCGGCAGTGGGTAAATGGATAAAAATGTGGTGTAGACGTAAACAATAGCATCCCCATGAGCGAGAAGGAAAGCCCACCTTCTGCAATAACAGCGCTGGGCCTGAAGGCACTATGCTAAGTGAAATAAACCAGACAGAAAGACAAATACTGCGTGGCATCACTTATGTGCGGAATCTTTAAAAAAATGTTGAGCTTATAGAAACAGAAAGCAGAAAAGTGGTTGCCAGAGGCTAGGGGTGTGAAAGAAACAGGGAGAGCTTGGTAAAGGATACAGGCTTTTAGCTATAGTCGAATAAGGCCTGAGGACCGAATGTAAAACGAGGTGAGTTAGTGGATAAGACTGTATTACATAATTGAAATTTGCTAAGAGAATACAATGAAATGTGCATACACACAGAAAGTGACGGAGGTAAAACAGAAAATAAAATTTTGGGAAGATGCCTGGTTGCTCAGGAAGTGGATAGGAAGGCTGGAGATTAAGTTTGGAGGACAAGGCTGCCCAAGTCCCAGCCACAGCCCCCTTATCACACTGTGGACTTCAGGGCTCACTGGCGTGGTGGCCCCTCGACACTACGCTGCTTTTGCAGCTGCCATTAATACAGTTCCCTTAGAGGCCTTGATCCAGATTTAGAGTCGCCAGCACAGTGGCCTGTCAGTTGAGCCCAAGTCCGTCTCTGCTGTAGCCACCGGGGACAGGGAGATGGACCATCTTCCTCCCCAGAGGAGGTGCATCCTGCCCTGACCAGGACCCCGCCATGGGGACAGGGCCACAGAGGAGGAGGAAGGTTTCAGTCTTAGGCGGCCAAAGCAATGAAAAAGTCACCAGCCTGCTGGAAGGGATGGTGAGTCAAGGCTCCAAAGGAGAGCCTCCTGTAGAATTCTGCACACAGAAATGAGGTAGATTCCTGGCTGTCTGCAGTGGCTTAGATAACAGTTCCCCCACAAAGCAGAGTGGGATTGCAGGCAGTACATTCCCACACAGTTGTCAGCTCCTGAAATGCTCCAATAGTCTCCTGTCAAAGTCTTATCAGAACCTGAGAGCTGGAATCAAGAATTACGTCTCCTTTTCTGGGCTCTTGGGAAGAAGAAGATGCACTTCCTCCCTAGTTGGCCGACTCCCGTTTGTGTCTGATAATACGTGAGCAGCACGCGGCTTCTGTTGCCTTCCAGGGAGATGCTGTGTGAAAACAGCTTTTCAGAATGCTCACTGTCCACATAAAGAGAGAACCCGCAGGAGGGCTGGTTGCCACCCTGCAGCCTGTTGGATTTGGCTGAGTATGGGGATCTAATCACCATCTATGTCCACGCGAGCCTCCCGCTGGCGTCGCATCTCCATACATAGAGAAGTCAGCTGTGGTACCCTGGTGCTCATGCTGAAATCGGAAAAGAATTATTAGGTGGTTGTCTAATAATTTATATTTCTTCTCAACAGATCATTAGAGGAAATAGGCAAAGTCACAGCTGCAGAAATTGTCATTCGAGTCAGCAGAGGTGAAAGGAGCATTTTTACTGAACTGTTGCCAACAGCCCCTGGCTTTGACTGGCAACTACTGATTATTCCTGTTCTCATTTATCATCAGAGATCAGTGTCTTCATCGCCTGCTCTTGTCACCGTGGGGTTGACATAAAAATACTACCACTTGCAGGGCAGTTACAGGGGCCAGACTTACACTGTGCTCGTTGCAGGAAAATCTATTCCATCCACCATCCGGTGGCAAGAAAAAATGATACTGTGTTTTCTAAACTTGATGTTCATGGCCAGTACCCCTCCTCCTCTGTCTGGTTGTCGTCCTTCAGTGACTGAGTGAACGAATGAATGACTAGTATCCATTTGATGAGCTGGCCAGTCTGGTTTTAAATGACTCTGTGTTTTTTTGGTTTTTTTTTTGTTTTTTTTTGTTGTTTTGTTTTGTTTTTAGCTGAGCCATCCTGCTACCTGTTGGCAGCTCAGCGGCTGCTCAGCTCGGGCTGGACTCGAACTGCTGTTGTTCAGAGCTCAAACTCTTGAGCGAGCTCTTAACCAACTGAGCCACTCGGCCGGCCCTAAATGACTCTGTGTTTTGATGAGCAGCATCAAAGGAAGGGCCTACTTCAGCAGTTCAGATCATGAGATTTACGGTTGATCAGGGAGAGGCACACAGAGATGGCAGATTGGTCCTTCGGAAGCACAGTGTCAGGCAGCATCTGCCCTGACTCAGCATGATGACTCCACCTCCCCACCCAGTGAGGTCCCACACGGCCCAGGGGCACCCTGGGCGCAGATGTCTGCACCCGTCGTCGCCTCTGCCTGTCACCCGACAGGCTTTCCTGCTGTCCTCTGTACGCACGTGTAGACCAGCTCAGTGGTGCTGACATTATCTGGGAAGCTTTTTAAAACACTGGTGCCCAGGGTCCCCTGCACGCTCACGGAATGTGCGCCCTTAATTTGGTTGTCTATCGCTGTAAAACAAACCACTCCAAGACTTAACTATATGAAACAGTGACGGTTGTGTCATATGACCAAATTCCTGGCTCCAGAATTCGGAAGGGGACAGAATGATGGCGTGTCTCTGATGTTCCAGGGCTTGGCTGAGACAACACAGATGGCTGGGCGTGTCACACAGCCAGGTGCTGCAGGCTTCAGGGCTCACAGTTCTGCTGCTTGGGCTGGGAGGCCTCCAAGGCGGGGCTGGGCTCTGCTTCCTCAGAGCACGCTGGTGCCAGGTAGTCGTTTCCCACGGGGAGCCCTGGCCTCCGGGAGCAAATGCTCTGCTGACAAAGAGGACTGTGGGGCCTTTTGCACAGCTAGCCTCCAGGCACATGGCACAGCCAAACACCCCTGGTGATAACAGCCTGCAGGCAGGGCTGGGGCTGGGGTGCGGGAGGGAGGCACCAGGTGCAAGGGTGAAGAAGGCCGTCACCCTGGGGGCCGTGCAGGTGCAAGGGAGCAGTCCTTATGTCCTTCTGTGCCCACGTGCCTCCCAGCCTCGCCCTTGTCCTGGCTGCCCAGACCCCGTGTGTCCTGCATGTGAATCACGGGCGGGAGGGGCTGAGATTCCAACACCAGGGTGGGGACTGGGATGCTGTGAGACGCAAACATGCCAGGGCCCAGGTACACACATCCTGTGCTTCCCCGTGCCTTTGCTCACGTGTTCCCTTCTCGGTCTCCCAGTTGTGCAGCACCTACCAACTGTTAGGTTCCTTCTCAGATGCCAGCTCTGTGTCAAGCCTTTCTCGGTCCCATCAGACATCAGATCATACACTGTCCCTGCGAAGAAGCCCCAGCGCTGTGTGTGTGCTCTCGGCACTCCCATTCTGTCCTGCACTGTGGTTGGTGGTGGACCTGTCTTAGGGACAGAGCATGTTCTCATTTCTCGGGAGGCCACAGAATCAGACCTGAACCCCCCACCATTTCTCACGGGCACTGTTGTCCGTGGCCGTCTGGCCCCAGATGGCTCCGCGGTGTTGCCCACACAGCTGTGGGGGTGCACCGTGCACATATTGGGTGCTTAGTGAGCATTGGCCGTTTTTGCTGACCAAAGGTGAGCTGGTCATCTCTGCAGCCCTACAGAAGCTCTGAATAATCACTGTCCTTAAATTCTAAAGCACGGCTAGGGACTGCCTCTTTTACTGTGACTTCAGGAACTTCTTGCTGGAGCGTCACCTGAGCGTCTCTCCCCACCCCATCCCCATCCCCAGCAATTCTGACGCTCACTCTGCAGACCCCACAGCACAGCCTCTGTTCATGGCACTCCTGCATTTAAGCCCCAGCGTTGTGACCATTTTACTGGTGAGGAAAACTGAGGCTTAAAGGTAACTTGCTTGATCACAAGATAAAGTAACTAGGGCAGGTTTGGAACCCCGGTCGCCAAGAGGCCAAAACTGGATGGTTTAACCCCATACTCGCCCAGCCCCTGGCTAAGTGGCGGTCCTCGTGAACCCGCGCCTCTGGGGAGCGTGGGCGGGTCAGGTCCCAGGGACCACAGGCGGGTTTTGCAACTTCGCTCTTAAGCTGGGGCGTTTTCACTCAGCGCTGTGGCTGCTCAGGATGAACCCCCTTCCATCTGTCCCTCTCTGTCTGTGCCGCCTCCTCCCTCGCGAGGCACGTGGGGTTGTCGTGGGTGGGCAGGGGCCTCGTGGTCACCTCCGGCCACGCGGGTCCAGCCTGCTCCCGGTGAGGGACGCCGAGCGCGGGGAGGGCCCGTCCAGGCGTCGGCGAGCGCGGGGGCGGGGGCCGGGGAGCCGGGGAGGGGACGGAGGCGGGCGCCAGGCAGGGCGCCTGCAGCGCGGGGGCCGGAGCCACAGACGCGAGCGAGGCTCCGAGCGAACTGCAGCCGCGGACCGGCTCCGGCGGCGGGGCCCCGAGGATGGAGGACGCCCCCGGGAGGACGCCGCCGCGCTCGGACAGCTCGTCGGAGGAGCTCAGCGCGGCCCTGCGGCCGTCCAAGGGCATGTCGATCTTCCTGGACGTGAGTGCGGGCACAGGTGTGGGGGGCCGTCCTTCCCCCACCCCCCATCGGTGCCGGGGCCAGGGCTTCGCCCGGGACGCGGCCAGAGCCGCCTGCCGCGCTCCCCGCCCCGGAGCCCCGGGAACCGGGCAGACGGCGCTGCCTCCCCAGCCCCCCGGGACTCCGGCAGCGCACCCGCCTCCCTGTCCCGGCGGCGGTCAGCCCCCCTCAGGACGACCTCCCCCGCGGCCCCCGTCCCGCACCGGCCGCCTTCCTGCAGTCCTGGCCTCGCGCCTGCCTGTCTCGGACAGGCGATGGCTCTTCCTCACGCTTGCTTTTCCTTTCTCTGCTGCTTTACTGTCCTCGTGCTGTGGTTTCTATCTCTATAGCAGGTTTTTTCTTATTTCTTTCTCAATTTTGACTTACTCTCCCTGCCTGCTGTTTCTGTTCTTTATTTTCTCCACCCTGTTGCCCAGCTCTTCTCTCTGCCTTGAGGATTCGTGGTTTCCAGTTCCTCAGTTGCCTGCAGGTGCTGCCTCTCCCCCTCTCTCTCTCCATCCCTTTCTCCCTCTCTCCCTCTCTCTCCCTCTCCCTCCCTCTCTCTCCCCCTCTCCCTCACTCTCTGTCTCTCCCTGCCCCCCCCAGCCCCTCAATTGTCACAATCATGCTGTCCCCCCCAGGTATTCCCTGGCTCAGTGGAGGACGATTCTGGCTGCGTCATTTTTAGGCAGATAGAAAATGGGCAGAGCATTGAGGAGTCATGCGTGCTCTGTCCTCTGCCCTTCTCTGTGTCACCATTTCTTGTTATGATCAAGGTCAGGGACCAGAGGCCAAGTAACATGTGTTTGTGGAGAGACGAGAATGGGAGGAAATCACATTGTTCATATCATAATGTGGAGGCAGAGACAATGAGCATAACGCAGGGAGGAGGAGCCCTCCCCAGTTTATTTTGAATGGGTCAGCTGGAATTTTTTAATTGGACCCTATAAGTAATTAATCCTGCTCCAAGGCAAATGATATCGATAAGGTTCAACTGTGCCTCTGGCAGCCTTCTCCCCTCCTCACCCTGCACTTCCAGCTGGGCATCCGGCATTGTGGGCTGGCCATCCTCTTCACACCCAAAACCTAAGCATGTGGCTCCCACCGTTCGCTCATAGCGCCTTACTCTTAAGAGCGCTCATCTCTGTGTGGCTTGGGGCAATCAGGTGATGTGATTGGCGCCAATGTTTCACCGCCGATACATTCCTTTGAAGTCCTGATGTTCAAGACCAAAAGGCCCTTGAGGAACGGAGCTGGAGAAGGAATCTGAGAAGGCTATCCTCAAGGATGGTCGGGGCCCCCCAAATCATGTCAGTCATGAGGGCCATGGCTCAGCCATCCTGAGGCTGCGTCACAGTGCGAGCGGGCTCCCTGCTCATTCTGACCCGGTCTTCACTCTGTCCCCAGGATATCGAGTGCTTCCCTGTGCCTTTTTAAAGTGGCGAACCAGTCTTAGTGACACTGGTGATGATGGATTGAAGCCATGTAGATGGAAAGTCATCCTCCCTGACACACACGCCAACCTAGGCCCAGGTTTTCAAACTGCTACTTTAAAAAAAGGAAGAGAGAAGGTTAAAATCTCCTTTATTATTATATATACACGATTGTTCCAGGCTCAGTAAATGACCAGCGTCGAGTCCTTGTCCTAAAGGAAGTCATATCTATGAATAGGACAGCCGTGCCTTCTTAGGTCTCCTTCTAGAATTTAACAATGACAATAGAAAACTGATGTTGCATGAGGTACTGACATGCTTGTAAAATGCAAGAGTCCACCAAAAAAAAAAAGTCACTGGATTTTATCTCAAATAGAAAAGATTTTGTTTACACTTTCCTCTTTGTGAAAAATCCATTGCTCTGGTGAAATATGTGACATGAAAAGGGATTTGTTACTTAGGGATTTTTGAATTCTTCATTTCCAGACCATATTGCTTTTAGCAAAAACTGAAATGTGAAATATAAATACATAATTTTATTTAGTTAGTTTTAATATATTCTAGTAGCACTGCTAAGGAAGGTTGCCTTTTGAATTCTGTTCAGGTTATAATAAGTAGGTGATGAAAATTCCCTATTCCAAAGAGGAATAGAAATGAAACCAATTAGAAGCTTCTGCATCACAGAGACTGATTTCCAAATTTGTGGAAAACTTTGATTTCCAGTATTTATATTCCAGTGCTGCTGGAACAGTCAATCCTCTGAGAAATGATTTAAGCTGCTTGTGAGGATACTGTTAATGATATGACTAGACATGTCCAGCTGGATAGAGACCAGCCACAGATCAGAAATTCAGAGAGAGATTTATCATAATTGTTGGCTTTTGTTTCATTTTCCCTATCTCCAAATCAGTAATAATAGCGAGTATGATATTAATTCAAAGGTTACTGGGTGAGTACGAGTCCAGTGGACAGAAAACTGAGGAAAAAAGGGTTGTGCTACATATATCGAAGTTATGCTCGTATGAATGCATAAGCAACAGTAGCCAAGCCCACAAACGAATACAGGGGCTGTTTCTTTATGAATCTAACTTATATGGTTTTCCTTCTAAAAACTGGCAGAATTTAGTATCAGTTCATCCTAAGTGCTCTTGTTACCTGCTGGGGCTTAGGAACCCAGGGCTGGTGCCAGGGCACACACACGCCCTGACGCAGTGTGATGTGTTTGCACGGCATGCCTGCTGGCCACAAGAGGAGCTGGGCTGGCCCAGCGTGCAGCCACACGGAGAGGCCGTGACATGGCAGCCATTTTTCTTTGACACCAGTGACTGCCTTCTCCCAGGTTGCTGCATTCCCAGGGACAGAGAACAAGTGCATGTAGCATGCTAGTCCGTATCGCATGGGCCCTCTGTGGTTCCACCAATGAACTATACTGCAGTGCAAAGGGAGAAGAGCAAACCTTCAACTCACCCCCAAAAGCAAGACAAATCCCAAATGAAGTTGGTTGCAACTTTACCCTCGTGATGCTACTGTCTTCTCCCAGTTTCCCTTTGGTTTTAACTGGAAGGGAAGTGGTGATGCAGACGTGGGGCGGAAGGTTGCGAAGGAGAGAGATGACTGTACCATTTGTCTTCCATTCCTTCCCACAAATAAGCATGGCCAGTGTGTACACTGGGAACAAAAAGGCACAGTGCCTGGCTGTCAGGGACTGGGTGACAATCAGCAATAGTCTCTCCTTGCAAAGACACCCAACCCCGAAGCACGTGCACGATACTATCTGTGTAAGAGCCGACACCGACAGAGCACTGTCAGAGCAGGAACGGTTTTCAAGATTTGGTGGTTCCATGACTGAATTCTGTTATGGCTTCCTATCTTGCCTAGGACACAGCTGATGATTTGGGTAAGATCGTCCAGTTGGGAGAATGGCCATTAACCCCACCATTGTCCACCCTCATTGGCAAGGCAGATGTCACTCTGCTAGTTCCAGGAACCAGCAGAAATAATGAAGACTTAGTTTTACTGTCACCACACATTGGAGACTTTCTCCGCACAAGGCCGACCCTGGGCAAAATGAGGAGGATGAGGCTGTACGTGCTGATTGCGTTTCTGCATCCGCCCCTCAGTGCCTGCTTCCCCACACCCTGTCTCATGATGACTGGTGGCCTGGTGGAAAGCTACCTGCTGGCAGTCGAGCCCCACACACCGTGACTCACATTCTGCGTCTCCCCTCTTGCTTGAGTTTCACCCTCCCAGTATCCCAGGCGTCCACTGAGTGACTGACCTGTTCATCCCACTTCCTAATTCTAACCTGATACATGGTCGGAGGCCCTGAGCAAACACAAGCTCACTAAGTGATTGTGGTGGTTGTCTAGGCCTCCAAGATAACATGTGTATTTTAACTCATGCCTTCAATAATGTCAAATGAGAAATGAGGAATTTCAATCAAGACCATCCGGGAATACCTTTTGGAATACAGGATGCTATTTGAAAATCCTTTAATTGTTGCAAAAACACAGCATCACTTGCCTTTAAGTTTTATTCCTGATCATATTGTAATATTTTCATCTATTTACTATGTATACCAGTAAGATGAGCCAATTAGATTACTATGGTATGTGACATAATGAATGCAGTTCTCATCTGCAGTACATTTTTTGTGTGCTTGTGGGCTCAGAGGCAAAATTTATAGCAGAAACAATTCTGTTCATATTTAATTACAAAGCATTGTCTTAACAATGTCTTAATTTCATTTCTAAGAGGCTGAATGCTATTTAAGATCATTCTTAATGAGATAAAATGATGGTCTCTGGTGTGTGGTTATCCTATTCTAGTCATTTCAAACTCATAAGGACACAGTAGAGCTTGAAGTAGAATCGTAAAGTCTTATCAAAGGTCAGACGGAGGCTGTGTTTCTTGTCCCCCTGATTCTGCTGGGGCCTTGTAGTTTCAGAGGAGAGGAAGAAGCCAGTTATGATGGAGAGATAGACCCCCCCCCCAAAATCTCTAGACATTACCTCTGTGGGGTAGAAAGAATTTGTGTCTCATTCTGCTGCAAGGTAGAAGTTCTCAGTATTGAAAGCAGCCATCTTGCAATAATTATACATATAATACATGTATTTAGTATAAAAGGGGCACCAACTTCTTAGGCACTCAGTAGATACATACCTGTTGTTGGAAATTTTTTATAAGTGAGATTTTTAGTAATAATGTCAATATTTTATCATAAAAACACATTGTAACATGATGAGATTTATACATACGTCATGTCCATGAAGTCAACAGAAGGAAAGGAGGTGATGTTTCTCTGCTAGAAAGCAGTAAGACAGAAACCCTGTGATAATGACAGCTGTCGCTCATGTTTCAAACTGGCCACCGGAGGCGACGACCTCAGTACAAGAGTGACTCTAGTGACTTAAGCAAAGCTACATGCGCTCTGGAAAAGAGGTCCTCGGGTCCCTTTCAGGTGATTCTGGTTGTCTACACAATATGATAAGGGGTCATTTTCTTTGGGGGTGTATGTAACATATGAGGTCTGACAATGAAGTTCGCAAACTCATCCTAGAAAAAGTGCCACATACCTCATTGCTGAATGTCACTATGGTCACCTTCAAAGTCCTCCCCTTGGGAAGCTATGCACGGACACCAGGGCTTAGTCCACCCTTCAAAGCAATTTTGGAACTCTTTCTGGAATGGGCATCAGAGCTGTCGTCATATTACCTTTGGTGTCCTGAATGTCATCAAAATGTCTTCCTTTCAATATTTCCTCTATCTTCGGGTAAAGAAAGAAGTCACTGGGGGCTAATCAGGTGAGTAGGGAGGGTGTTCCAATACAGTTATTTGTTTACTGGATAAAGACTCCCTCACAGACAGTGCCGTGTGAGCTGGTGCATTGTCATGATGCAAGAGCTATGAATTGTTGGCAAAAAGTTCAGGTTGTCTAACTTTTTCACACAGCCTTTTCAGCACTTCCAAACAGTAAACTTGGTTAACTGCTTGTCCAGTTGGTACAAATTCATAATGAATAATCTCTATGATATCAGAAAAGGTTAGCAACATCGTTGAAACAAGTTTGCTAACTTAATTGTCTGACCTCATAACTGTATAAGATGTTACCTACATTTTTTCTATCAGTATATAGTATCAGGACTCATCTGATTGTTCCTAATAGAAAAATATCCCAAACTATCTTGAGATTTTAAAACATAATAATGTATAGCTTCCTGGAATGAAAAGTCCAGATGGCTTGATCAGGGCAGAGCTTGTTATTAGGGTCCAGTTTCTCTCAGGGTCTGGACACAGCTTCCTTGAATGTTGCTTGTTTCCAGGATATATGTTATATGAATTTCTAGGCCTGCTGTAAAAATGTACTCCACACAGGTGGCATTCTCTCAGTTCTGGAGGCCAGAGGGGTGAGATGAAGGTGTGGGGGGACCATGCTCCCTCTGAAGGCCCCAGGGAAGGATCTGTGCCTCTCCTGCCTCTGGGGGTGTCCGTCAGTTTTTCCCTTCCCTTGGCTGTCTCCTCCCTATCTGCCTCCAGCATCACATCGGGGGGACTTTCTTCTCTGTGTCTGCATCTCTGAGTCTTTCTCTCCTTACAATGTTACCGGTCACTGGGATTAGGGCCACCCCAATTCAGTAAGACCTTATCTTCCTTTGATTACATCAGCAAAGACCGTTTCCAAACCAGATCACCATCACAGTTCCTGGGGGCTAGGACTTCAGCAATTGTTTTGGGCGATACAGTTCAGCCATGACTTACACAATGGCAGAGAGGCTGACGGCAGTTCCTCTCCTGTATCTTCCCACGTTCTAAGTCAGCAGAAGAGAAAGTGTATTTCTCTTGGCAGCTCAGGCAGAACTGTCATTCGGGCCTGTCACTGGCCTTACTGTGCTCTGGCCTGAGCAGTCACTGTGGCCAGGAGATGTGACCCTTGTCACTCCAGGCCGGACAGCTCTGTCCAACCTTGGGGCTCATGGGCCCAGAGTGGAGGAGAGATGAATTTCTCAGAAGCAAATTAGAAATCATTACCAAAGATACTGGGTAACTAAGCAGTTTATAGCCACCAAAGAGAATTTAAAATCAGTTCAAGACAATATAACGCACAGAAGCTCTTACAGTATGGACACCTATTTACCCACAATTTACTTTTCTCTTTTTTCTTTCTGTTCATCCCCAGTTCTATTGAGAGATGATTGACTTACAGCAAATCACACATATTTAAAGTGAAAGTTAATGAGCTTTTACATATTTCACGCCCACAAAACCATTATCACAATCCAGATAAGAAACAGATCTGCCCCCCAGAGAGCTTCCCCATGCCCTGCGCCACCCTGATCTGTTTCTGTCACTGTAGATTGCCTTGTGTTTTCTAGAAATTTGTAGACATCGGTATTGTTTTGTGTCTGGTTTCTTGCTTGGCACAGTTATTTCGCGGCCCATCCCAGTCACTGTGTGTCAGGAACAGGTTCCATTCCAACTCTCATGGTGCCCACCATATGTGGGTGCTCCCACTGGTGTGTGTCCCTTCATTGGTTTGTGGGCATCTGGGTATTTCCAGGTTTTGACCATTATAAGGACAGATCTCAATTGGAAAACCTTTATTTCTGATTGAAAATTCTTTTATGTGGTAATGGATGAATTATGTGTGAGTATAATGCTTACTGTGTTACTTACAAAAAATGGTGATAAAATGTTTCCTTTTTCTTTTCCAGATACTGAGGAGAGCAGACAAAAATGGTAAGACCAAAAATCGACAGTTTCTGTGTATTAGTCACTTACCTTTTAGATCTTCTTGTAAAGAATAATATGGAAAGGAGGAGAACTCAGGATGTTGACACAGAAAGTGTCAACTCTTGTCCCAGTAGGAGTTTTAGACACGTTCATGGGTCCAGACCCTCGTGAGACACAGACACAGGCGTTCACATTTGGCAGGAAGATAGAATATATGTCTTTGAAGGGAGGAGTCATCGTAGCTCTGGCCTTTACGTTACTTTGAAAGGAATAACAGCTTCTGTTTGCTGAGTGTCTACTACGTAACAGGCATTTGCCTGGATGTCTTAGCGTTAATAAGATACAGGGCTGAGATCTGAGCCCAGGCCTGTGTGGCCCCGCAGTCCAGGCTTTCCACAGGGACCTGCGTCATTGTCGTGGGGGCAGCCACGCTCTGAGATGGACCCCGCAGGTGCCCCCAGGCCCCTGTGCACTCACAGCTCCTGCCACAGCGCTCCTGTTTCGAGAGCGCGTGCTGGACGTGATCATCCAGACACAGAGAAGTGGGAGCAACTGGAAGCAAAAATCGCTCTGCCAAAAGGAACCGCAGTTTAAACGATACCTTTGACTCCTTTACGTGGTGCAGTATTTTGTTCCAGAGAATACCCACGCAGAGCTTACTGGGTTTATCTTGCTGCTGTAGTAGAAGTACACAATAGATTTATATTCTTGACAAGAGTTTCTTGATGTATTTAGGATAAAAAGAGTCCTTTCCTTCTCTCAAAATCCAGTTTCTTATCTGTAAGGAGAGATTACAGGCAGAGTCCAGATCTGACCGTGTAGACATATGTTGTAGTCCAGTTAGCCATTAAGCAGCCAGACCAAGGAAAGCTTGACTGGCTCCTCACGCCTTTCCACACAACAGAAGGAGCAATGACACAGAGCCCCAAATCCTGATACTGTTTAACGGTGTCTGGGCATCAGAATGTTTTCGCAAACTGAGTTGCAGTGGTTGGTGTGTCATCAGTTCCCCGGGCTTTTATTTTCACTTGCACCACCTGACTGATTTTGAAGACAGACAGTGATGCTGTCATCTTGACTCGTCAGCCTGATGCCTAATATCCAGCCCAAAAGCACAGCTGGGTAGCCTGTCTGTCCCCAAGGACTGCCTCATGTTCCAGCAGTCGTTTCCGCTCAGAAATGCCCTGTGTCCCCGCTCCGCTCCTAGTTCTCTCAGGCCACTCCCACTTCTTTGGACCCCAAGGCTCCTACCGAGAGTGAGTCGCTGCTGCCTTTGTGTCTGTCACTCTCCTCTCCCTCAGAACTTTCCTCTTTGGTATCCCGCCATCGTGACCCATGATCATAATAAAACCAGTTCACATGATGAGGGTTTTATGCAGCCCCGTACCATGCTCGTGGTGGGCACTCTGGTGCCGGGAGCCCCGTGCTCGTGCTCAGTCACACATTTCCTCACCTGCCTCCTCCCTGCCCCTGTCCCAGTGCTCAGTGCCTGAGAGTTGCCTGCCTGCGGCTCACCCACGTCTGCACCTGGCTGCCCTCTGCAGCCCGCAGCACTTGGGCGTCTCCTCTGATGCCCTCTGTGGGCTGGTTTCTGCTTTGACAGCTCAGTCACTCCGCCAGCTCCAACCCGCTCTGGGCCCTTGTCTGGGGAGCCTCCCCTGCCCTGCTCTCCGTCTTGGCTGCCTGGAGCGTTGCCCTCAGGTGAAGACTGGAGATTCAGCCTCAGGCCTGACGTGCCTCCAGGGCACGGAGCTTGTGCTGAGGCAGATGCTGTGCAGCCAGTGGAGGGGCCCAGTAGATGCCCGCTCCGTGAACCAGTAATGAGGAAGGACATTCCACCCAGTTTCCATCCCTTCCAGCTGCCCACTTGCCCCCTGTCGTGCACCCTGCTTCTCTTCTCCCTCCTGCTCACTGTGACTGACGCGAAGGGAGGGCAGAGCCAGGCAGCTGTGCCACCGCGTAGCTTTGTTGCACTGCAAGCAGCAGATGGCACCTCAGCTTTCTCATCTAGCCATGGAGATAAGGACATCTACCCGTGTCGTGGGTTCTTATGAACAATAAGTGAGGCTGATACACCAGGCTCCCAGGGCAATGCCTGGCACAAGCTCGGGTGCTGCTGTTAGGGTTAACATTGTCACTATGACTCAAAGCTTGAGCTGTTTTGTGTTGTGGTGCCTTGGCTGTCGGAGTCAGTTGGTGACATTCCAGTTATTTCTATTTCAGTGGAGGTTAGTGTGGGGGAGGGAGATTCTCTACCACACATGCACAATTGGGAAAGGAAGTGGGTAATCGAATGTGAGAAGATACCAGCATAGGAACCCCTTACTGTATGCTGTGTCCATCACATTCTGTGTCTGCAAGCAGCCAGCTGCCCAGCTGCCTTGTTCTCTGCATGACAGACCCTCATATGACAGAACCCCTGTGGACTGCATCACTGCTGCTGAAACGACAGAGGAGTAAGAGGCCATCTGCAGGCCATAGTTAGCCTGCCAGGGTAGGTGTAGCTTTTGGGATCTGTCTGACATGAAAGAGAAGCTGCTGGAACATGGGAGAAAACACACAAGTAGTGATTGGCTCTAATAATGGCATCTTGGAGAGGTGTTTGGTTTGGGTTGTTGTTTTTAAAGTGCAGTCTAGGGTCCTAGACTGAAAGTGGACCTCAAAATAGGATTGCTTCCAGGAGATGTGAGCACACTGACCTAAGGAGCCCAGAGTGAAACCTAGAAATGCACCTTCTGAGAAAGCTTGTTCATATGCAGGTTGAATGCAAATGGAAACGATGCACTGGTATTTGTAAAGTTTGCTAAAGAGTTAATGCAAAATCTTACTAGTTAGGGGATCCATAGCACACACACACTCATACATGCATGCTCACACACGTACACACATACTCATACATGCCTGTACACGCATGTATACATGCACACACATATTCATACACCACACACACACTCATACGTGCATGCACACACACACGTGCACATTCATGCATACCCATACACGCCCACACACATGCACATACACACACACACACACACACACACCCTCGTGCCCCAACTATGACCCTATTGGAAGAAGCAGCTTATCACCCATGCGCTGTGTAGGAAGGCATGACTGCAAGTTCTGACTAATGACTTTTTAACAAAATAAGGGAAAACAAATGTTCTAATTCCATAGTACGGTTTATTTTCTAAAATTGGAAAGCAGTTTCACCCTCGTAAGTGTTTTGCTTTTCTGCCAAAAGCAGAAGAGTGTGAAAATTTTTATCTTTACAGAGTTGGGCATATCAGCTGTCACAGAAACAAACAGAAAATCCAGATTCAAATCACTGAGGCAGGGTCTGGCTGCCTTGGGCTGCCAGCGGCCCTCGGCATCAGCTGGCCCCGTAGCTGATGGGCACGGGTCTGCCCTAACACGGGCTTCTACCCCCAGCACTCTCCGGGACCAAGGCTCTGCGTTCCTTTCCCTTTCTGTTTCGCAATGTACTCATCTCCTTTATTCCATCTGGATCCCGGAGGCATGCAGCTTTACGGCTGAGCTTGTGGCTCTGCAGTCAGATGGAAGTTCAAACTCTAGAGGGGAGGGAATGCAAGTTAGAACATGATTCCACACTCTAATAAATGCTGGGATGTAGAGCTTTGTAGCACTTTCTTACTTTGTGGCTCCATAAGATTGTTCAGGCTCATCTTCTATCATCCCCGTGCTCATCCTGCAATCAGCCACTTCTCCAAGGAGCCCTGACCTTTGCTCTCGGAGGATGGTGTTGGAAACCAAGCTGTGGGTGTCATCCCTGCTTCTGAGCTCCCTCAGCTGATGGAGAGGGAAACACATATGCTAATGCTAAGGCACATGCACACGTGTGTGTGTGTGTGTGTGTGTGTGTGTGTGTGTGTACGTACATTTCCATAGCTGGTCCTCTGTGCCCGTATGTCACTGCTTTAGGTAAACGTGAGTTCACACTGACTCAGACACTACACCGTCACCACGTGGTCACTGCACCTCTTCCCTTTGCTTCTCATAGCCTCTCCCTTCAATGGTGAGAACCCTGGCTCCCCGCCAGCCACCATTTACGTACTGTCACTCCAGCGCACACGCACAGCCCAGGCTGTGTCACAGGCACCCGTGGGGAATTACATCACCAACCACTGAGTCCTGCTCAGCACAGGCCCTTTCCCTTAGCACACAGACCCACTCGTTTCCAGCCACCTTCCTTCCCTCCCTCCCTCCCTCCAGGGAGGCTGCTGCAAACATTTCTAACACAGCCTTTTGTCACGTGCTGACCCCTCCCTGGGATCTCCTGAACTCCTCAGTTGACTCCAAAGAGGAGCATTGAAGTCTCCAACTATAGCAGTGTGTTTGTCTATTTCTCTTCTATTTTTCTATCAGTATTTGCCTCATGTATTTTGATGCTCTGTTATTAGGTGCATACACACTTGGAATTGTCATCTGGGAGAACTGAACCCTTTATAATTAGGTAGTTCCCCTCTTTATTCCTCATAATTTTCCTTGTTTTGAAGTCGATTTTGTCTGAAATTTATAGAGCTACTTCAGCTGTCTTTTCATTGGCATTCCTATGTCAAGTCCCGTACACTGCAGAACGGTCTCTGATGGCACTCACTGTGTCCTCTGGGTGTCATGCTTGGACTCACATCTGTGCATCTTCTCCCACTAGACGTCCTGCTGTGTTTCGCTTGTGTGTCTCACACACAAGTAAAATTTGTCTTGCTGAAGAAGTGTTTGTTTAAAAAGTAAAAGAACCTGTGTGGGGCTCCAGTAACCATTCTGATAGCCACATGTCAACATCTAGACATCAATACACAGTTATACAACATCTCGTGTATTCTGCAAGCTGCTAGGTCCTGTATATGAAGGCAAAACACCTAAATAATTGAGTCTGTCTTGAGCTGTTCTTTGGTTGTGTGGATATCTTTTTTATATGACCAGTTACACTGTTTCTTAAATGTGTTTACCATATGAATAAATGAACCAAAAATACCCCAAACCACACAGACATGTTTCATCAGCGTGAATACGTCTGCAGTCTATGTGCTATGAAGACATATTAAGTTATTTTTCTTTTTAACACCTTGAACTATTCATTCTTCTTGAATATGTGTGTGTACATACACAAATAAACCTGCACAAGCGTTTGAGCAAAGTTTCAAAAATTAAAAGGTAAAGCAGTGCACAGGTTAAAATGATCTCTTCTGCTTGTTCTTAAATTTTCAGATGATGGAAAATTGTCCTTTGAAGAATTCAAGGCCTACTTTGCAGATGGAGTTTTGAGTGGAGAAGAATTACATGAGCTCTTCCACACCATCGATACTCACAACACCAAGTAAGGAACTTTCCACCGCAGGGTTCTGTGACCGAGGGGGGAGTGTGAGCAAGTGCACCCCAGTGAGGAGAGGCAGGAGGTGCGGGACACACTTAGGGCGCTCCCCGGGCACCCTTCTGAGGCGTCCCCTCTGTGACGACTGCTGACATCGCCTGGAAAGCACTGATCTTCTGCAGGGTGCGCTCCTAGCGTAGCCTCAAGAGCGTGCAAATGTGAAACAAACACGTAGACTACAACTGATTCTGATTCTGTCTGTAAGAAAGTCAAATCCTGCCACGTGGCTTAGGTTTCCCCTCAGTGTGCTTCATGTAACAACTGTGCTTGGGCCACTCTTCTTACAGCAGCGGGGACAGCCCCAACCTGCTCGCTCTGTCCCTGCCGCCTGCAAGGTGCAGGCAGCACAGGACGCACAGCGTCCTCGGAGTGACCAGCGCACACGGGGACTGTCTGTTCCATTTACTATACCCATGCAGGCCTACCCTGCATCAGCACAGCATTTATACCGGCTCTGTTTGTGTGCTTACTGTACTTAACATCAAACGGGAGTGTAGGTTGTTGGACAGTGGACATGTGCTGCTGCGTGACTTGGGTAGCGAACCAGATCACGTGACTTGTGACAGCCGTGCTCACAGAGCTCTGATGTGGAAACGCGCCTGTCAGCTATGCCCTGGGGCCCGCCCTGTCTCTGCTGCTGGAACAGTCCTTGTGTCGCGTTAGGCAGAGCGTGGACTTAGTTTCAGCCAGAGAGCCAGCATGCCAGGAAATGCTCTGGGCTACAGCTGTGCAGGCTTTTCCTGCAATCAGCTAATAAGAAAAAGTGAAAAATTCACTTTACTCAAGCAGGTGAATGTTTTAAAAATGACTAGTTTGTAAGTTTCTTGTCTTCTCTCAGGGTTTTGGATTCCCTGTGAAATACATGGCTTCGGGTTTTGTTGTCAGAAGCAGTGTTAGCAGATGACTGTATGAGACGTTTGTTCTGTTCAGCAAGTCCAAGCATCAAGTCCCTAGTTAGGTCCACGACGGGGCAGCTGACAGTTCAAGGGCAGTCGCCCCACTGCCTGGGCACTTCTAAACATTGCAAACACTGGAACTGGGGATACACATGGCGCTGTGGGGTGGGAGTCTGAGCTCAGTTTGGTGGGATTAAGGGGCCAGCAGCCGGGTCTTTATGGGACAGTAGAAACCAATTAGGTAAAGAAAGAGACAGGGGAGTATTCCCATCGGAGGCGAAACACCTAGAAGCACAGGAGAACGGGAGCCACAGGTATTTTCTTACTGTCAAAATGTCAGCTGTGAGGCCGAGAGTAGGAGGGAAGGATCTGGGAAGAGTGTGCCAGATAAGGAGGACTCTGCATTAGGAGATTGCAGAAGTACGTCCACCTAACCTGTGGGACCCTTTAAAGAACGCAGGCCAGGGAGCACGGTCTCTGAGGTCACTCTGCCTGGACGCGAGGACAGGCTTCTGGGGCAGAGGCTGGGAGGATGGCCGTGTCGGGACTTACCTGGAGGGACGCGGCCAGGGCCGACCTCTCCAGGATTATGCGTCCTCCGGGGCGTACGCGGACAGGGCCAGCAGATGTGCACTGTTTCTGGAGGGAGGCGCCACTGAACTGGCCCCCGTGGTGGCCAATGACTTTCCTGCAGATGCTTTTGCCAAGTGAGGCAGGGTCAGAGGGGCCACGGTTCTGGGGAGGGGAGATAACAGTCTTTGGACAGATTGTCCTCGGCTTCTCCTAGGCCCCACGTGGCAGAAGTCCCCACGGATCATGTAGTAGGCTGTGTTTGCAGGCTGTGCCTGGCAGAAGGGTACAAAGCTGACTTGCCGGGCTCGTGTGCTGCGGCAAGGCGCTCAGGTGGCACTGCTGGGAACGTGCCTGCCCCTCGCTCTCCTCTTTCCTCTGTGCCGGCTGTCATTGTGCGCCACCCTGTTGCTGACAGGTCACCAGGGTTCATGTTGTCACCAGCCTAGCAAACTTTCAGAGAGACTGCTTTCCTTTCCAGTGGTCCCAGCAAAATTCTGGCCCTGAGTGACGTTAACCTGGCTTGGCTTTCATGCACATAGCTGAAAAATAAGTTTTTAGGAAAACGTAATGTGAAAGGGAACAGGATGCTGTCATCATAATACGAGGGATAGATGCTGGGCAAGGAAAACCTGAGTCCCCTGCAGATACAGTAACTGCCTCCTCAGCTTCGGAGACTTCCCCTTCCCATCTCAGGTTTTAGAGGAAGGCATGGGGAGCTCTGCGGGCTTGAATTCCAGAGCTCCTGCTGAGTGTGGGGTCCCTCAGGAAGTCTAAAGCTCTGTCCAGCGAGAAGGCTCTGTTGTAACAGGCGTCCTGGCCTGCTGAGCTGTCCAGGGTGCTGACCACTGGACCATCTGTCCCCGTGTCCTGCTCTCCGGCTCCAGCTACCAGGGTCATGCCTGGAATGCGATTGCAGGTCATCCCTGTGGACCTGCCAGGCCTCTGTCTCCAGGGGCCGCCAAACTTGGGTGGACTCAGTGAGTAATGCCTGGCCCTGCGCCCTCAGTCTCGCTGCGCAATCCTCATCTAGCTTGGATACTCTGGGCACTGTCCCATAGCACATTACCCTTATGCATTCAGAATATAAAAATTAGACTGTGTGCATGGCCAAGGCAAACACCACTGACTGTCACCTGTACGAGCCCCACTATGCTGTGAGAGACTGAAAACCGGGGCCAGCTCTGCAGCCACTGATTCTGTTGGGCCATTTGAACTTGCCCGTGGCTATCAGCCTCCGTCAGCACTCACTGGGTTTTAGGTGTGCCATTCGCTTCAATCATTTCTGAAACCCATGTACTTTCTTTGAGCATCTCCAGCTCATAAAGATGTGGTGAGAAAAAGCGGGCTGTTTCCTAAGAGCTACCTCCAAATATCTTTTCTTTCCTGGGAAGCCATTTCCTTGCACCCCACTGCTCCCCTACATCAGGCTGCTCCACAGTTTGCAGCGTGGATGGGGGGGTGACACGGGGCTGGGTGCCCTTCTCTGCAGGGAAAGGGGCAACAAGCAGAAACTCGCTGTATGATTACAAAGGTTAGCACAGTTTTAGGGACTTGGAAAGGAAAGAATTTTAAGGAGAATTTTTTCAAGTGACATGGAAATGGTTTCTTCTTAGTTATAACTTATGAAAAAAATTTATTTTTCTCTGACAAAGATGGCAGACAGGCCAAATTTTGTCTCAAGGCAGCCATGTAATTTCTAAAACATATTTAATTTCTAAAGGAAATATTTAATTTTTGATTGAACAGGGAAATACATTTACTGAATGACTGTGTGCCAGGCACTTACATCATCTTATTTGATCTTCACAAAAACAAAATTAAAAAGTTATTATTCTTCACAGCCTGCATTAAGGAATTTTATACAGGAAATTAAGCAACTTGCCCAAAGTCGCACAGGGTCGTGTGAGGGCCTTGGGTTCTCTCACAGTTACCTGAAACAAAGCCCACTCTTCCCATTGTCGTGCCTCCTCAGTAAATTTTCAGATTTCTAGCTATTGTGTATATCAGAAATCAAAATATTCCAAGGCCAGTTTTCAAAGCCACTTTCAGGCAGGTATATTATTCTTGATGAAAAGGTGGCTACTCTCCCACAGGAGAATATATTTGGATGTATAGTATAGAGGTAATTGCTTTAATTGCTGCCATTATCTCTTCTTTTTTTATATCCATTATGTAGGATTTTCACAGTGTGGGAGTTGCTACAATGTAGAAGTGCTGTTCTTCTCCTCTGGACATTGTTATCATTCCTGGCACAGTTTCCCTGCCCCCAGCCTGCCTTTCTATCTGGAATTCATCCGCTCGTGGACTCAGTCCCCTAACCGCCCTCCTTTCTATCACTTTCCATTTGCTGCATTTTCACCATTGTTCTTCAGAGCACTCGCAGTTTCCCTGTTTCCTTTCATCGCTTGTATTAAAGGCCTTTGCTTTCAAACCTTATGTTTTTAATCTTACCTAGAGAATTATTTTCTGGCTGTCGTCTCTTCCCTTCAATAAAGAGCTTGAATTCTTTTTTAATCTTAACTGAGAGTGCTCTTCCCATCAGCCATAATACACTTACAAATGGTGAATCAAAATCGATTACTACTCAAAACAAAAATTGCCTACTGAGAAAGCCGGGTGAATTATTTATTCACACAAATGCAGGGTTCTCTCGTACCTCGTTAATATCAGCCAAGTGGATGAAATCCAGCCAGTGAACTGTTAGCCCCAATCTCTGTAAAGTACGCACTTCTGGGACGGGTCTCTCCCCACCTCCGTGTCTAGTACGCCCACCAGTTCTGTCCTTTCTCCCTGGCTGGTTTGTCCTGTGAACCCACCTAACCCTCTTGATTGTCACCACCACGACCCATGTGCAAGCTTCCTCTCTTGCAGCTACATTATTTTCAATAACTGTCAGTTTGGGGGAGTGTTAAATTCTTTTTACCTGGGATGCCTCCAGATTTCAGAATTCTTGAATTAAATGGAGATTACAAACAACCTAGAAGTCATTGCTCACTTTTGAAATGAATGGTTTTCAAAAGCAATTTCTTTAGGAAAATAGTTTCCTAAATAAGAATTATATGAGTAACTCATGCTTCTTATAAAAATATTTCAAACAATATAGAAAAAATTAAAAAAAAAAAAAGCATAAAAATGGCTGGATCCCACCTCTTGGAGATAATTGCCAGTAGCCTTTGTTTCCTGTACTTCCATTGTGTGCATTTCATTTTAATCAGAGATCTTTTTTTCTGGCTCTCTCCTCCTCCCCCACTGTCCCCCTGTCTCTTTCCCTGTAACCAGTTGTTGCCACCACCTAAAGTGTGGTCGTCTGTAGTACCTTTCCTCCATGCTCATATAATCGCATACACATTTATGTGTCATGAAGCCTTCCCGATGAGGTTAAACTCCCTGCTCTGCATTCACGTTGGAGCATGTGTGCCTTCTCCACAGCACTGACCACGCAGTTTTCTGTGCGTTCGGTGTTTATTTGGTTAGTGT